GGAAAACACGTGTCCTCGTTACCGGTCCAACCGTAATTACCGTCGAGTTACCAACCCTTGTAATCACCGACAATACCCATCAAGTATGGAATCACTATGCTAATCGTTCTTCTACGCTGATTCTTATTATCCACGCTATTTTGAAGTTAAAACTTTAGCACTAGTTTCTTGAGATCAGTACATGAAGAACTCACTGCAGAACAGCGTTATCATAAGGTATTTCTTGTAATTAGATTATTGAGAATATCTTGGGGTACAAGTGAAAGTTTGATTAGAAAGCGGTCGTTGAAAATTTGTTAAGACTATCATGCACTCACTATAGTGTTTTGGTTTGTATATTCATTCTATATATTTATCTTTTATATAAGAATGTAATATTAATAGAATGATAGAATAATTTTATAGTAGTATTCTATTACTATCATATGGTAGAACAAGAAAAGAATAATACTAATAATAATTTACAGGGCATTTACAAGAATATTCCCCGCATGAAACGTTCCCGTGAGGGAAGATAAAGGAAAGACGGGATGAAAGAAGAAGACTGGTCCGTTCCGTGTACCGGAGCGTCTAAATGTCCTTTTTCGAGGCGTCCACGGTTCCATGGAAAACGACTAATGGATGGATAATGACGCGTAATGGATGCAGCGGACATTACAGGTAATATCTCGTGAAAGCGGCAGCCAGTTTCCGTGAGGGACAGAGAAAAAGAGGGAAAGGGAGAAGCTGGTAAATAGATGCAGCACACCTCGCTGCCGATGGATGGGACGCAGCCCAGAGAGGTAATTTCCACCAGCGAATCGAGACTGAAGATGCTGTGGAAGCTTTCAGGAAAGACTCTGACAGTTTTGTATGGTCGTCGCGTTAAGAGAACTTAATGATAGGGATATCGTTATTTTCGATGGATTTTGATCATCTTATGATTGGCGTTTCTCCCACTAATATGTGGGAAAAAAGTGAAAAATAGTGGACAAAGGATAGTGAAAAATCAATAATGATTTAATGAATTACTAGTGGATAGAAATCCAAGAACAGTTACTGGAAAATTGAAGATATTTATCTGAACAATGACCAACGAATGATAATTAAATCTGTACTGGTGAATAAAGATCCAAAGGTAATATCTTACAATCAGTGATAGAGAAAAAGAACATTTAAAGGAAGGATAGAACACTCTGGAACTGACGTTGAAGAAATTAGTCCAATAAAATTGATGAAACTTTTGCCAATTGCTTTGCATTCACATTGACAAATATCTATCCTACGTACAGATCACCCAACAGTCTCAGAAGAACTTGAAAAATGGAATATAATTATTATACAACAATTAACCTACGATTGTCATCCACATGAGAAATTACCTTACCACAGTGTGCTATGAATCTATAGACATGCACAAATAACTAGAAGAGCATGTTTTTTCCCTTCTTTTCTACCAATTTCTTTCAATTCGTATCACCTCCTATTCTCCTTTCTCCTCCTCACTGAACCCCCCAAGATCTGAACCTCCTTTTGTGAATCGCTACCGTTAATTCGTGAGGAGCATTCGAAAGGAATCCTCGACATCAACGTTAGGGCATCTGGTAGCGAGCACCACGGATCCGGACGGTTCTTCTTGGTCTTGCGCCCGGTTTCTGCGCGATTCGAAGCTCCGCCGCCGCCGCTGCCTGCACGAGTGTTTGCAGTCCACTCGAAACCAGTCCCGAACGAGCTGGCGCGCGCGCGCGCGACAGAGACACAGAGACATGGAGGAACGAGAATGGAATAGAGACAGACGGACAAAGCCGTGGAGTAGACGCTCTGGCATCGAGGCGGGAGGCCAGGAACGAAGCTTAATTTGTCTAACGAGGGGCCTCTGCACCTGTCATCTGGACGAAGATATGGACGAACGGACGTAGACCAACCCTCTTCTCCTCCTCTTTCTCTTGCTCCTTCCAGTTTCATCCCCTAGGAAGCATTTACTTGCTTGCTTACTTGCATGCTGGCTGACTGGCTGGCTAACTTTACTTGGACTGCTTGCTCGGCTTGCTTGCTTCACAACGTGTGCTTGACTCATGACACTACGAAGATCCATGGGATTTAGTTGAGGTTGAGACAAAGATTCGTTTGAGTGGTTTCCTCAATTCCATAGAATATGGCGTGTCATTGTGTCAAAAGGCTGTTGCTTAAGCTGAAGATAAGGTCTTACTCCTCTCTCTCGAGGTTTACTTCTTGAGATCCTTTTTGTAAATATAAAAGAGATTTGTATATATTCAGTATAAAAATTTTGATAATCCTCTTCCTTCGTTCCGCTTTCTTAGTGATCACTTTCTTCCAACATTATTGAGTATTAAGAGTTGAACTATTATGTGGGTATCTGCTGCCTGTTTTATGATTGTTTCATTGATTTTGTACAAACAATGTTAATCTCACTCTATCCATCGTTGTGAGATAACGCATTATGCGATGATATACCCGCTTCCTCGAGATAATAATTCTTAACATTCAACGTGCAAGTACCGCACTGTTTAAATCAGCTTATAATAATATAAAATGTAGTTTACATTCTACGTACATAATGTAAAAGTGAACTACAAGGATAAACTAAATTTGTAGTAAAGTATGTGTAAGAGATATATACGATATGTCATATATCATATTAAATAATGCAGAGACGTTAGAATTAAAAAATTATAAAATTAAATACCCTAACGAAAAGGTTAGAATTCTTTCTTCTTTCGTACGTGAACAGTAAACGTGAACGCAATGCTTCCTGGACAGAGGGTCCGTGCGACCAGGTCACGCGTGTGCTTGGCGTTTACACCCCTCAGTAAATCAATCACACACCGTGTAACAACGTTTTGTTTTTACGGACACGCGCGGCCAACTTCTTGTCGCGTGTATGCCCACCCGATCACGCCTTCTGAGCCTGTCAGCTTTCAACGATCGTAATTCATCTTCCCGAAATCGGCACCTCGAGCTGCATTTTTATAATTTTCAAATAGTTTCCTGATCCTCGAATATGTACTCAACGAGTACCAAATATAAAATTATCATTAACCTTAAAAACGATATTCCTCTATTTCTTCCTCTAAAAACATAAAGGAGAACTATAGTATCAAGAATTTGAATCAATTATCATTTATCGACAACTAAATACCTTACCGTAAATAAAAATTACTTTTCACGAATCTATCATAGCTTCTAACTTACTTTCAATGCGTAAAAATTTCAAAGCACACAAATCTTCGTAAACCTAACCTCTTACAAAAGGTGATCAAATAAATGGCTAATGATTTTCGATGATTTCATCAAAAATATATACATTTCCAAATTCCCATATAAATCAACGTCCATGTGTTCATGAAAACGTCTGAATCGAAACGCAGACGCTCGCCCATTACACCTCGAGTCGGCGAGACGTTTCCTCGGGCCCGTGTATACCGCCACAGGCCACGGGAGAAACTTTTACGTCGACGAGGACGATAACGAATCGCTGGTACAAAGCGATAGTCGCTTGTTCGCCTTTGTAATCTCAGCCAGACAGATCGACACGTTAGGGAGAGGACGGACGATACGTGAAAGACCGGGGGCAGGCTGACGATGGTAGCGACGACGATGGTAGTGGAACATCCACTAATTGGATAATTACAGAGTGCACCGCGTTTGTTTTATAATTGGGCGAAAGCCGTGGAACCGTTGGTTCCACCTCGACGTGCCAAACAACGAAACGGCTGGAGTCACGCTCTACGTGACGAACTACCCTCGGAGCTAATCCGGGACCGTAGCCCCTCGGCTCGGCAAACCCTCTGCACGCTTGCGCTCCCACCTCTGGACGCCCTCCCACCTTTCCGATTTTCAACTCCCCACCTCTCCTCCATCAAAACCCGAACCAAGGAGCAACTTAGAGCAAACGGAATCAATTCCCTCCTGCCCTCGGTCTGTCACGCGAGTTTTAGATGAAAAATTTTGCGTGGTTACGAAATCACGGGTCGTTAACAATCGTGGGAGATCGACCCTTAATTGGGACGGCCCTAATCGGTTCGCAATTTCGGGGACAGTTTTTCTCGGTGACTTTAACGAATCTGATGTAGACAGCAGAGGTGCTGAAGGATCGAGGATGTTTTCTTTCTAAATGTATGTGTGTATGTATGTACGTGTACGTGTGCGTAGTGTGTGGAATGAAACCAGAAGTAAAGCAAAAGAGCAATACTGAGGGGTGGGGGTCAATTTTCTAAATATGAGTATTCAGTTTTATTTTATTCCTTTGAAAGTATGATGCTAGTTAATTGTAAATTAAAATTATTGGAAGAGAAAGCGAAGAACGATTTGTTGGTGGCTCGTTTAAAAAAATAAAGTGACCAACTGAACACTTTCACGACGGACGTCACATATGATAATCTTGGTTACTAACAGTTACAAACAATTACAGATTAATGTAAATTAATAAAAAATTGTATTAATAATAATAAAATCACTATGGCTATCACATAATTATTTATATAACGGTAATTTGAATAATAATTTGAATAATCATATATGATACCCGCGGTAAGATAAACTACTACTTTTGTTTGATGATAGTTGAGATCATTGCAAAAGGAAAATAAACTAAAAATATATTGAATCAATAAATAAAAAGTTTTAAAGTAATTTGTTCTTAATTGACCGATATATAAAATACGAAACTACACGAATGATGAAATGGGGTGCCGTTATTACTTCTAGAAGGGTGTGGAAGACAATGAATTACCCGTGCGCGTTTTTCATTCGACGAAGAATCGTGTTATCGGTAATCTAAACAAGTTGCGTGCGCATTAATTTGGTTCTAATAAACATGGTATTGTTTAAGAGATCGGGGGTTCTAACTTACATTGAGAACGGGAGTTAACGCGCGATAACCGTTTTATTCCTTAACGTAAATCAGACCCACGATTCATTTTCTTTTACTCTTCTTTACATGCCAACAAATACTTCAATGTCAATAAATTAATTTAAAGGTATTGAAAAAAATGACTCACCGTGATGCCCAAGGTAATGTCTGTAAACAAAAAAACATACGTATTGCGTTTATAGATTCATGTGTCATTATATACTACGAAAAATCTAGTTTAGAAATCATATTGTTATAACTTACCCAAGTATTCTTCGGCCTGCTTCGCTTAATGAAGCCTCTTGTGTAGAAGGAGTAAAACCAATTTGCGGTTTCCAAGTGTTGCCAGTAGTACGATTTATTTCATCAAAGTCTTGTGGTTTTAAAACTCTTGGTGGCTCTCTGGCCCCCTTTAACTTCCTCGCGGGGAAAATGAAATTACTACTATATTTTGGATCTCTGAATCTAACACTATATGAGAAATAAAGAAGAATGATATTCCTACTTAAAAAATAAATAAATTAAAAACATTTTTATTTTGGAGTCTAGCGTATCTTATGCATACCAATATACTTTATTATTCCTGACTGGTCGTCCATTTACAGGTGAATTTAGAGTAGCACCATCTCCAACACAATCTTCAGCTAATAAAACTGTGCCTCGTATACCTTCTATACGTATTGAAGTTTCTATGTCAAAACCGACATAATTCGTATAAAGTCCCTTTATAAAATTGTAACCACTATTATTGAATCCTACATATAACCGGTCATCTCCTCGAATATTTCGTTTTTCTAAGATATTAATATGAATGTTAAATGATAAATATTAAAGAAATCGTACATATACAAAGATTTTGTTTAGTAAAAAGCTAACATACTTTCTTCTTCTGATAGAGAATCGTAATACGGTTCCAATGCCTTGAACAATCGTTTCATGTCCACAAATGGAAGTAAAGCTACTCCTTGCCAAGCAAATTTTTTACCATCTAAATCAATCTTAAAATCTTCCGGATAAAAGTCAATAATCGGTGATCTCTAGAAAATATTATATAAAAAATGATGATAAGTCTTATAAATTATTTTTCATTTATGTAAATAAAATTACAATAAATTTCAACCTACTGGATCACTCATTAATTTTGCCCATGTCGGAGGAACGTGTTTACTACTAGCTGCTGGAAATACACTCATCAATTGCTCTAATGGGCGGAACTAAAACGTTCAAAACAAAAATAATACATTTATCCGTTATAATTTATTTATTAATTAATTAATATCTCCAACATACTGGGGTAGTTCCTTTTTCAAACTCAGTAGAAAGGCCACCAATATTTATAAAATCACTAGCAAATGGAGCATAATGATATGGAAAGTACCACTTCCACGAAGCACAACCTTGATAGTAATATCGTAAAACCCAACATAAACCTCGAACATACTGCAGTGCTACGTTATTTCTGTACATACATGAAGAAAATTTATATCACAAAATTTACATAATATTTTAAATTTATTTCTTATAATAGTAGTCTTCATCACATTCTTACCTGAATGCCAAATTATCAGGAGAAACGTCAAATTTTGATTCATAATAACGATCTTTAAAGCCTTCCTCCCATAATCTCACTTCATCGTAGGGTTCTTCCATGATAACTTCAGGTGTATCATTTCTACGTTTGTTTTCTCGATTAGTCGACTTCTACAAATAATCAATAAACGTA